TAGACTTGCCAAAATTTTTGCCATAGTGTTTATGTTCTCAAGCAGTGTTAATCTAAATACAAGTAAAAATAATACCAAAATGAATGAGAAAGCAATCATCTAAATATTTAGAGTTAAGAGAATTCAGTGACTGAGATGTATACTGTATTGGAACAGTTGACATGGTAATTGTAGTATATGTGGCAAAAAATAGAGGATTGATGATAACAACTTTACATGAATAGAATTAGAAGAACTTGATTTTCTTAATCCAAGCTGAAATATTCTTACTATAAATTATTTATTTTGAATAGCTAAAAATCTGCATCAGTGGCTTGGAAGGTGGCTCAGTGGTAGAGCGCATGCCTTGCATGCATGAGGCTCTGGGATCGATTCCTCAACACCACATAAGCAGAAAAAAGCCAGAAGTGGCACTGTGCCTCAAGTGGTAGAGTGCTAGCCTTGAGCTGAAGAGCTGAGGGACAGCACCCAGGCTCAGAGTTCAGGCCCATGACCCCCCCCCCCCCCCCAAAAAAAAAATCTGCATCAGAAACATTAACTTTGAAAAAGTACCAAAAACATCTAATGAAAAGACTATTCACCTAAGAATGAATGAGGACCTTAACAGTGTCTCAGATTCTTACCAACTAAAATAATGATATTTTAAGCTACTACTTAAAATGTTTTATGTGACTGTTTAAAGATGTCTTAAGTGACATTTCAGTACCTGGGAAAAATATCCCCAAAGAAGTTTCAATCTTGTTTATTCCAGTTTTCCTGTTTGTCAATGACTTAAGCAGATTTCTGGCAGTGTCCTGGGATTAAGAAAATTTCACGTCAAAATGACCACAACAGATCTAAAAAGCTTCCTGTTTTGTTACAATCCTATTGAAAAGATCTGTATCTCTCTGAAGAATGTGTTATGGGTTCTTCTGGCTATTTAAAAATAGTTGAACTTGCAGGGCGCCAATGGCTCATGCCTATAATCCTAGCTATTCAAGAGGCTGAGATCTGAGGATCACTGTTCAAACTCAGCTTGGGCAGGAAAGTCCGTGAGACTCATATCTCCAGTTGACCACCAGAAAACCGGAAGTGGCACTGTGGCTCAAGTGGTAGAGTTCTCGCCTTGAGCTAAAGAGCTGAGGGACAGCGCCCAGGCCCAGAGTTCAAGCCCCAGGACCCATCCCCCCAAAAAAGGAAGAAAAATTGTTGAACTTACCTTCAGAATATGAGAAGGATTGATAACATTCTGGGAAGATGTGAAGGATTCTTTCTTTGCCATTCTTAAAACTTTTAAGGCCACCATTGGCTCATGCCTATAATCCTAGGAACTCAAGAAGCTGAGATCTGAGGATCATAGTTCAAAGCCAGCCTGGGCAGACAAATCTATAAGACTCCTATTTCCACCAAAAAGACAGAAGGGAAACTATAGCTCAAGTAGTAGAACAATACTAGCATTGAACACAAAAGCTTAGGGACAATACCTAGGCCCTGAGTTCAAGCCCTAAGACCAGCACCAGAACAGCAACAAAACAATTATTATAAAGTGGTGTTTGAAAAATAACATATTAACTTAAAACTTAGGTATTTGCTTCCTACTAAGTAAATACCTAAGAGTGAGTTTTGTGTGTGTGTGTGTGTGTGTGAACTTAGAAAGTAAATACCTGTTTCTAAGAATGTAATCAGATGAAACATCAGATGCACTAGTAGGCTGGGGATCAATTATTTAGTTAACTGGCCAGTAAGTGAATTGTGAGTATTATGGATGACTACTTCCTCTTTCTCCTCTTTCTTCCTCCTCCTTCCTTCCTTCTTCTTCTTTCTTTTTTTTTAAATGAGGAAAGTTACCCTGAGTGTTGTTTATTATTTCTACAGCTGTAGCAAGTACATCATTGCCAGTGCAGTTTGTAATAACCAGAGTATTGGATCAGCAGAGAAACTGCAAAGCAAGCCTTTAAATAACAAAGGAATAAAAGAATTCCTATATAATATGTGCCTACACTTATCTGTGCTCTGTGGCACTATTTGTGCTGAACCAAAGCATCTGCTACCTCAAGTTAAGGGAGAACAAACTCAACGTGCCGTGAAATTACTGCATTGCCATTCACATTCATTAGAGTTACATTGTTACCAGCCATAGGCATGACTGACTTTTGCATGAATAATAAAACAAAATAAAATGCCACTTTGCAAATTTTACCTTAAAACATTACAAGCCTATGTCAAGTATGTCCAGAGTGGATTTCTCTTAGAACAGCTTAATAGGTTGACCAATCAGAACATATAGTGTTGTGTGAGGCTTCGGAGAGAGCATCTTAAACTATTCATTTTTGAAAACTAATGCTTATTGTGCTGGATATTAAAGTATTGTTTGTCAACTGTCATAATAATTGATTGAGACAAAACTCATCAATGGAAGCTAAAGATAGTAATGATGAGGAAAAGGATGTTTATATAATTACAAAGTAGGGAGCAATAGTAGAGTGGAGAAACCTGGCAGGCACCTCATCCAAGTGACTAGAGTTTTCACCAGGAAGGGTGAAATGAGGCCTGGGCTCCGGGAAGATAATACTTCTGTTTTGCTCCTTATCAAAAATGCATAATTGAATCTAATCCGAAGAAAAGACCAGACAAATCTAAATTGAGAGACAGTCTACCAACTGATTGTACTCAAAGAAGAAAAGAGACATGGCATTTGAAAATAAACTGTGATCCAAAATTTTCCTTTCTTTGGATTTCATTGAGATTTTTGTCCTCTGCTAGCTAAATACAGAAGTAGGTATTGAAACAGAAATACGCTTTCAACTAATAGTTTGAATATAACATATTTAGTTTTTACCCTATCTTACTATCCTAGTTTATGTGAATTTTAAGTGCCTTGCAAGTTTTGATTGTTATCTAAGCAATAGTCTTTAATTATTAGGTCTTTTGGCCTAATTGAAAACTCAAGGCTGGATTTGATGCTTAGTAGAGAACTTGTCTAGCACTGCAAACAAAACAAAACAAATCCCAAAACAGAAAACAACAAAAACAGCTTTGCCCATGGTGAACACTGGTAATCCCAGCACTCAATAGGTTGAGGCAAAGAGATCATGAGTTTTCAAAGCCACCTGGCTTACATACCAAGACTTTTTTTTTTTTTTTTTTACGGGGGGAGGGGGGGTGAGGGGGAGGAAGAGGGTCAATTGTGGGGCTTGAACTCAAAGGCTTGGGCACTCCTGAACTTTTTTGCTCAAGGCTAGTAGTCTACCCCTTTAAACCACAGCACCACTTCTGATTTTCTAGTGGTTAATTGTTGATTAGAATCTCAGGTACTTTTTGCCCAGGCTGGCATCAAATCTCAACCTTCTGAGTAGTTTAGGATGACAGGTGTGAGCCACTGGCACCTGGCAAAATTCTATCTTTAAAAAATAAAAAGGAAGATAAAATTAAAAATGATATTATGATAAATATTTTGCCAATTTCTCAGTCAGCAGAAGAGCTCTCAATTAAAAATACTAGAGGGCTGGGAAGGTGGCTTAGTAGTAGAGCACTCGCCTTGCATGCATGAGGCCCTGGGTTCGATTCCTCAGCACCACATAAGCAAAAAGTTGGAAGTGGCGCTGTGGCTCAAGTGGTAGAGCACTAGCCTTGAGCTGAAGAGCTGAGAGACAGTGCCCAGGCCCAGAGTTCAGGTCCCACGACCGGATCCAATAAATAAATAAATAAAATAAAAATGCTAGAAGTAGGGTGCTTGCTGGTAGCTCACACCTGCAATCCTAGCTACACTGGAGTATTAAGCTCTTTGGATCCCAGTTCAGAGCCAGCCTGGGCAGGAAAATTCATGAGACTCTTTTGTATCTCGTTAACTAGACAAAAGCCCAAAGAAGAGCTGTGGCTCAAGTGCCAGCCTTGGGTGAAAAAGCCAAGTGAGAGCAAGATTAAACCTCAGTATCAGCACACAAAAAAACCCCCACTAGAATGTATCATTTTAAGAGTTTGGTGAGCAGTTAAAAAAGAAGTAGTGTGATAACTAAGATGAATTCATAAAGAAGTTTGGTGGCTTTTAGATAGATTTTCTTTTCAGAGGCAATTTGATAATTATCTGATTTTTTTTTTTTTGTGGACAAGATGAAGAAATTGAGTGGTTGTAGTTCATTTAGTGAATAATTAATTGAAAACCATATCCAAGATTAATGATTGGTTGTCACTTTCAGGATGGTTTCTAGCACTGTAACTGTTGCTAAGATCTATTCTTAGCCCTGTTCTAAGGTTTAATTAATAATTTATATACAGCATTGATGACATGGATGAAACTTTAAAATGACTCAGGTGGGAGGGGTAACCTAAAGTTACAGATGATCTGATCAAGAAAGAAAATGGTTGTTGAGAATTAATAAGCAAGAATCTAAGTAAATCAAACGGGAATAGATTCTATAAGAACAGTCTTCGTATGATAGATGAACAGTGGGAAAAAGTTCATGGAATATCAGTTGCCAAATGTCCAGTTGGTGGTTTATTGATTTGTTTCTTTAACTATTTGACTTAATGTATATTACTGAGTCATCAGAAAATGGAAATCACACTTGCAATTTCAAAGATAAGAAAATACAGGAATATAGGTGTTTAGAAAGCTAAAACAGAAAATGGGACATTGAACTATTAGGTAGTTACCACACTCCTTGCGCTTTGTGTCCTTTATGCTGAAAATGAAGCATAAAACTAATTTGGCCTTGATCAGGTGAAGGTGGTATCCTGCTGCATACTCATCTTCAAAATGGCTTTACCATGAATATTCCTTCTTCCTGAGATGTATTGTGATTTTTTTAGAAAGGATAAATGTTTTAAGAAGTTTAGACAGGGATTTTTTTTTCAACAACGTGGCTAGTATTTTTTATCTTCTTTCACTCTATTTCAACATTATTATATTGATATAAAATTGAGTATTTCAAGATAAAGTTATTGTCATAACCTGAAACATTGGAGAGCAAAGTTTAGAATTGATTTCTTTGTCTCTTTTCCCCCTAAATATTGTTCTTTAGGTCAGTAACAGATCCAAGAGATGGAAAGAGAGTAGCACTCAAAAAGATGCCCAACGTCTTCCAGAATCTGGTCTCTTGCAAAAGAGTCTTCCGGGAATTGAAGATGTTGTGTTTTTTTAAACATGATAATGTAAGTGAAACTGGTGTTTGGGGGAAACTATTTCCTAAACCTATTTCCCTGAATCTGTAGAGAACAAAGAATTGGAAAGTGTGTATATAAGTTTAACATTTAAAAACAAGCTGCTTTTATGCCAAACTCTATGAAAAGAACTAAGCACATCCATGAGGTAGGTTTTATAATAACTATTGGTAGCTTTTATTTAACACATTCTTATTGAAGGAACATATACAAATATATATATACTCTCATACAGTTTTCTAAGCTATTGTTCTTTCATTATTTTCTTTTAATATATACTCTTCTTTTGTTTTTGGTCCAAGACCAGGACTTGAACTCGATATCTGATGCTTTGCTACCTGAGCCATGCCTCCAACCCTTTAGTATAATATACTCTTAATGTCTCTATGACTGTCTTAGTTTTTCACTGTTGAAAGTAGTAGTTTAGGGCTGGGAAGGTGGCTGAGTGGTAGAGCACTTGCCTTGCATGCATGAGGCCCTGGGTTCGATTCCTCAGCACCACATAAGCAAAAAGCTGGAAGTGACGCTGTGGCTCAAGTGGTAGAGCACTAGCCTTGAGCTGAAGAGCTGAGGGACAGCTCCCAGACCCAGAGTTCAGGCCCCACGACCGGACCCAAAAAAAAAAAAAAAAAAAAAGAAAGTAGTAGTTTACAACCATGACAACATACAAGAATGACCTGAGAGCACATTGTATCATAATTTTACTTTTAGATTTGAAAATTGCATTCCAGTTTATATGAATTACAAAGGTCTTATTCCAAATTAGCAAACATTGGACCTCTGAAGTCTCAAATTTGTTTTGGAATTATAGTGTGTACTCTGCATTTATCAGTATCTCTTTTTTTAATTCTAGAAATGTAATCTATTGTTTGAATCTCAGGGAAAAGAAGCATAAGTTTACAGGAAAAATAGGCTAGAAAGAAACCACAGCCAAGGTTTTAATTAATGAGCTTAAATACCTGAGACAATTTAGACTTTCTGTGATTGAACAATGAGCAATTTTAAATGAACTTTAAGATTGATTAAATGGCAAATTAATATTAATTGATACAAAACAAATAGTATTTAGCTGAAGAATAATACTAATATTCAACAGAAAAATAGAATGTAATACATTGAGTGATTTAATAAGTGGGATAATTGGCCTCTGATTTTTAAGTACTTTATTTTTATCCTTTAATATCTTTAATAAGAGACTAAGATAGAGATGTAGCAAAACAGTTTTTTCTTTAGACAGTTCAGTCCTTCAAGTAACATAGGTTAGTTTATTTATGGAGATGTAAAGACTCTGTCTTGTGAGTCTATGTAATTGCTTGCGCAGAAACCTTTATAACTTTGGCCAACAGTTTGGGTCTCACTTTCAGAAAAAATTTTGCAAAAGTTTGTGATATTTGGTAAAACCAAGAAATCAGACATTTTGTGGTTCACTTGAAGCTTGACATTTTTGCTTGATATATTTAATTTTTAATTCTGCTTGAAATCCTTTTCTAGACTGTGTGTGTATGTGTGTGTGTGTGTATGTGTGTGTGTCCTGGGGCTTGAACTCAGGGCCTAGATGTTGGACTGTGTGTGTGTGTGTGTGTGTGTGTGTATGTGTGTGTGTCCTGGGGCTTGAACTCAGGGCCTAGATGTTGGACTGTGTGTGTGTGTGTGTGTCCTAGGGCTTGAACTCAGGGCCTAGATGTTGTCGTCCCTGGGCTTTTTGGCTGGTGTTCTACCACTTGAGTTACAGCTCCATTTCTGGCTTCTTTGGTCATTAACTAGAGATACGAGTGTTACAGACTTTCCTACTTGGGCTAGCATTGAACAAGGATCCTCAGATCTCAGCCTCCTGAGTAGCTAGGATTATAGGCATGAACCACTGGTGTCTGGCTCTTTTTTAAGTTATGTCTGGTCTGTGGGTTATATTCAGTGATGGAACTCTTGCCTTGCATGTAAACGCCATGGGTTTGATCTACAGCACTGAAAGAAAAAATGCACCATTATCCTCTAGTCTATTGAAACTGCTTATCAATATTTTAATGAGTTGAAAAATACCATTTAAGTTGCCATCTTAATGTCAGATTTAGGATGATGGCTTGAGTTAATTAGTTCTTGGATTTGTCTTAGTAAAACTACCCCCACATCAAAGAATGAAAAAGCCTGTTATAATGTCAGAGACTAAAGCAAAAGTGCCCACAATGAAGAAGTATTTTAAAGGTGACTTCAGATTTCAATGACTTATTATTTTCAAGCTAATAATTGGCTTTTTTATAAAAAAATAATTATATGAGTCAGGTACCAGTGGTTCATGGCTGTAATCCTAACTACTTAAGAGACTGAGATTCGAGAATTGCTGTTTAGAGCCATCCCAGGAAGACAATTTCTTTTTTTTTTGGTTGGTCGTGAGGCTTGAACTCGGCCTGGGCGCTGTCCCTCAGCTCTTCAGCTCAAGGCGAGCGCTCTACCACTTGAGCTACAGCGCCACTTCCGGTTTTCTGGTGGTTTATTGGAGATAGGAGTCTCACGGTCTCTCCTGCCCGGGCTGGCTTTGAACCGCGATCCTCAGATCTCAGCCTCCTGAGTAGCTAGGATTACAGGCGTGAGCCACCAGCGCCCGGCAGGAAGACAAATTCTTGAGACTCTTATTTCCCAATAATGTGCGCTCGCTCTCTCTCTCTCTCTCTCTCTCTCTCTCTCTCCACACACACACACACACACACACACACACACACACACACACACACACACACACACACACACACACACACACACACACACACACACACACACACACACACACACACACACACACACACACACACACACACACACACACACACACCTCTAGAAGTGGAGATGTGCCCAAGTGGTAGAACAGCCATGAGCAAAAAAAACAAGCAAAAGGTCAAGGCCTTGAGTTTGAGCTCTAGTATTAGAAAAAGGGAAAAAGATAATGATATAATAAAATGCTATTCACTCATATTTGCTTAGGATTCATTCCTTTAGAGTAACTCAATTAAGTTCCAAAGACAATGCTAGAGTAAATAAGGAAAGAAATAAACTGAGTTCTTGAATATCTCACCAACTTAAACACAGCCAATTCCATTTATAAGTGATGGGTTTTAGACAGACTGTGTTTGAATTATGGCTGTACTGTTTTCTAATGGCATACCTTAGGTCTTAACTTTTCTGAGATGTAAGTTTTTTTATTTGCAAAGTGAACATGGTAGAATGGAAATAACTATATATGATTGCTTCAGAAATTAAATTCTCGGGCTGGGAAGGTGGCTCAGTGATAGAGCGCTTGCTTTGCATGCATGAGGCCCTGGGTTCGATTCCTCAGCACCACATAAGCAAAAAGAAAAAAGCCGGAAGTGGCGCTGTGGCTCAAGTGGTAGAGTGCTAGCCTTGAGCTGAAGAGCTGAGGGACAGTGCCCAGGCCCAGAGTTCAGGCCCACGACTGGACCCAAAAAAAAAAAAAAAAGAAATTAAATTCTCTTTTTTTCTTTCTTTTCTTTTTTTCCCCCCTGGTATCAGTTCTGGGCTTGGGTACTGTCCCCAAGCTTTTTTGCTCAAGTCTACTAGCTCTACCACTTGAGCCACAGCTCCACTTCTGGCTTTTCTGATGCTAAGTTGGACATAAATCTCATGGACTTAACTGTCTGGGCTGACTTTGAACCACAATCCTCAGATCTCAGCCTCTTGAGTAACTAGGTTTGCAGACATGAGCCAACAGCACCCAGCAAAAATTAAACATTTTTTTCAATATTATTGTTATTATTAAGATGTTGTACTGAGGGGTTGCCATTATATAAACCACGTAACGAGTACAGTGTCACCTCTCCCTTCACTTTCCCCCAGTATGCCACTCCTATTGCTGCCCACAAGTCATAAGTTAATTTTACACATAGTGTCTACTGAGTACCATGTTTATCCATCCTCCCTTCATTAGAAATTCATTTTATTTTTATTTTTTTAATTAATTTATTTTTTTTATTCTGGTTGTGGGGCCTGAACTCTGGGCCTGGGCACTGTCCCTCAGCTCTTCAGTTCAAGGCTAGCGCTCTACCACTTGAGCCACAACGCCACTTCCAGCTTTTTTCTTTTTGCTTATATGGTGCTGAGGAATTGAACCCAGGGCCTCAGGCTTGCAAGGCAAGCGCTCTACCACTGAGTCACCTTCCCAGCCCTTATTTTTATGTTTTGCCAGTCCTGGGGCTTGAACTCAGGTCTTGGGCATTGTCCCCGAGCTTCTTTTTGCTCAAGACTAGCACTCTACCACTTGAGCCACAGCACCACTTCTGTTTTTTTCTGTTTATATGGTACTGAAGACTTGAACCCACGGCTTCATGCATGCTAGGCAAGCACTCTACCACTAAGCTGCATTTCCAGCCCATAGAAATTAAAATTTATAAATGATTAGAAGTTCATGCATGCTAGGCAAGCATTCTACCACTAAGCTACATTCCCAGCCCTTAGAAATTAAAAATTTTAGCTGGGCGCTGGTGGCTCAGGCCTGTAATCCTAGCTACTCAGGAGGCTGAGATCTGAGGATAACGGTTCAAAACTAGCGCGGGCAAGAAAGTCCGTGAAACTCTTATCTCCAATAAACCACCAGAAAACCAGAAGTGGTGCTGTAGCTCAAGTGGTAGAGTTCGCCTTGAGCTGAAAAGCTGAAAGACAGCGATCAGGCCCAGAGTTCAATCCCCACGACCGAAAAAAAAAAAAAAAAAGAAATTAAAAATTTTAAATGATTAGAAGTTTACCTAAAATATACAAACACGCACACTTTGGGCAATTTCTGAGATCTATCTTGAGAAAGTACCTGTGATATCTGTGGGACTATTTGAAAGTGAGGCAGATACTTGGAGATAAAGTTGGCATAACACTACTTTTACACATATTCATTTTTGCTGTTAAGATCTATATCCAAGGGGCATCTCTGGGCCCACATACCTGGTATGTGTGGAATGCCAATCTTAAGAGACAGCTGGTATTTGTTGTAGTTA